TAGACGATCTGTCCTTAGACAATGATGAACTTCGAAATTATTACTTGGGAAAATACGTACAAGAGGTTTTAAAAGGTGAGTATATGACAGATTCAAATTCATCAGAGCTATTTCCATGGCACAGGCCCAGGCGTTCCTTAAGCAAGCACCTAAGACTTGCCCCAGACAGAGCAAGCAGCTCTGGCTGAGATGCAGGAACCGGCCATCAGCATTCAGACCCCTGAGGGGCCTGATTCTGCAGCCACGCTCAGGGCAGATACAACACAAAGTGATGGCATCACGCCCCTCACGTGGAATGCAGCCACAGCTGCTGCCAGTTTAAACCCTGTGAGAAGCCACCTGGGCATACATATACAGCAGTTATTCAGAAGTTCATAGGAGATGGCACTTCAGACCAACAACTCTTAAGATACAGCTCTAATTTCTACTCTACAAAGAAAGGCAGGAGCCACCTTGCTTGCTGAACTAGTCACTGGACAGGAAAGCAGAAACAAGTCCAAGGAGACCTAGAGGGACATACAGAAGAAATACAGCAGGTCACCACATTTTTAAGGAGCTGCTGTTGCAGGGAGAGTCAAACTCTAGATCCAGTTCCACTATTTGCTTTCTCCTGGGCACCTACAGAAATCTAGTTCTTCACTTTAGAGAAAAATTAATAACAGTTAGAGGTAGAGGACAAAATGTTCAAGGCAATGATCTTCAGCAATAGCTTATTATATGAGAAATGCTGCAGGGACCTTACCCCTCTCATCCCTCTTCCTCTAACCAAATCTGAAAAAGAAAGCAGTGAGCCACAGGACACCAGAAAGGCCTCAGTATCTGAACCATACAGCCAAAACCAGATGTACAATACATCTCTGTGGTCACTATTCCATATTGGTGAGCACTAGTGAGTTCCCTGAACAGGACACGGGGCATCTATAAGCTCTTCTGAGGCACCTGTCTCCAAACAGTGTCTATGTATCCCAGTTTCTCCTCTCCAGGAGCTAGCTACTTGAAAAACAGGACAGCTCTTACTCATGGCTAAGCATGGCTTCAGATTACTTTTAGGCACCAACAAGAAACAGAGCATTCCCCTTCCAGTGCTTAGCTCTTGCTCAATTACTATAGGACTAATAAGCATTTGCTGATTTATTTTCCACACTAATTTCACACTGCAAACAAAAGAACAGTAAGCTATTAAAGGAAATGGTTGCTTAAAGGGTACTTCATCATAGTATTCCCATTTTAATTTTCAGGTAACTTATACACTTACTCACAAAAAGCTCCTTCCAATTTACAACGTTTTTACTTAATCTGGATCACATCCCCAACTACACTCTCTGCTTACACATGAATTGCAGAGATGTTTACTCACCGAGGTCTGCAATTTATGATTTCATTAAAGTATTTTTATCCAACACTCGGGTGTTGCAGTGTAACACAGAGTTGTACGTACTGCGGGGCTGACCAACTGGTTTTGGAGCAGAGCAGGAATTTTCTGAAAGCTCATGACTCAGATGGGCTCCCCTTGAGTCATCGCAGCTGGGTTCAGTAAAGAGCAACACGTGGCTTTTCCCAGGAAAGCAAGCTCCCAGGTCTAACCCTGTTCAAATTCAGCTTTCGTTGAGTAGGTCCACAAAATTCGCAAATTCTACTTTTTTTTGGAAACAGTGATGCACTGTTTCTATTTAATCTAGACAGCTGAGTATTATTAGAAGTGGCAAATGTAAGGAAAAATGATGCAATTATGCTTTTTTAATTCATTGATTAACCATCTGAACTCATTACCAGAAAATTTGCACATCATACAAGGTTTTACTAACATCTGGTTTTGTTTTCCCTTCTCAGCATACTACATTGATAAAGTCAAGATTAAAGGCTACTATGCATTTAAACTGACTGAAGAAAAGTCTAAGCCCAGATTTGGATTCTTCACTTCGGATTCAAAAGGAAAGCCTTCAATAAAATTTTACAATAACCTGATAAGCAACAATGGCTTTCCTGCTGACTATTCAGTCTGTGGTCCCTCCAACAAAGAAGAACAGTGTAGCTTCTGCTTATTTATTTCTCAAAAGAAGCCACTAATATTCTTTGCCTGCTGCCTTTTCTCTACCCTTATATTGCTTTTAACTATTATTGTTTTTCACAAAAGAAAAAGAAGAAAATATTTTAAGGCAAAAAACATCCAGTGCATCTGTGTTTCATTTTAAGAAGGAGGCACAAGCCCACCTTCAGGGAGATCCATCACTGTTTGCATTCTACAGAGAACGATGCAGGTCAGACAACTCTAGAAACGCACTATGTGAGTCACTCCAGTCATAACACACCAAGCATTTCATTCAAAAATGGAAAGTAATTGTATGTACATGAAGAGCTATGAGGACATTTGTTTCTGGTGAAATTACTTTTATCCACCTACTGTACTGTATGCAGAAGATATTTTCATCTATTTAAAAAAAAAAAAAAAAAAAAAAAAAAAGAACATTTTATGACTGTCCTGTGCCTTGGAATAACCTTTCAAAGAGTTTGACTTGAAAAGAGACAGTAAGCTGTAAGAACTCATATGCACTTTTCTATGAACCTCTGGACTAAAGCATCTTGTGATGTATATTCATGTTATGAATGTTTTTAAGCCTGAAACTGCAGTTGTTAGGGTTTACAAATAAGAGTGTTATTAAAATCCACAAGCTTTCAAGCAAGTACACCACCAAGAATTCAGTAACCTTGGCCAGCTTCTGAAAATACCTGTAAAAGAACAAATCCAAATTAACTCCATTATTGACCAACATACCTGTATCTCTCACACAGCGAGTGAAGTAGAGATCAGATACTAACATTTTAAGCAAGTGTAACTGGACCCACAGGAAACAAGTCAAAATAATACATGATCACTATTTTTCATCTCCAAAATGGGGTAGCCATAAAAATTTTTACTAGTAGAGAACTTAAAAATAAATAGTAACTATTAACCCACTGAAGAGAGTGATGAATAATAGTAAATCAAAATTAGTTTTTCATGGAAATAAATATGTACTTTCATCTTAGCTCTGGTCAAGTGCCAGTGTAAGCCATGAGTGGAATAAAACCATGAGGAGTTTATTGCTATTGCTGCATTAAACAAAAGCTCCCAGCCCAGGCATAATGCTCGTAAGGGATAAATGAATCTGCTGCCTCATTTAAACTTTTCAGGGACCAAACCCTGAGGTTTCCCTTGGTCTGGTTCTGGTCATCTCAAAATGAGCCCAACAGGTCTTTCCCGCGAACCGCACTGCCACAGACAATTCGCATGGGCCTGCCCTTTCAGGCACCGCATCAGACCATCACTGCCCAGGCAGGTACCACACACCTCTGGAGAGGGGTAGAGAACCTGCTCTAGAAATGGAACGAAGGGCAAAAAAAGCCATCAGCTCAGTTCCTACTGCCTTCCTCGACTTTACAACCTTCTTTTCCAGTGGCCAATACCATTTTCAAGTCACAGTGAAATCCCCAAACCGTTCCCACTAGAAGCTAGTTACCTCAGTCTTAAGGTCCCCCAAGATACACTTTATCTGAAGAGGCGAGGCATACAAACACATTGTCTTTTCCAACTGCATCTGAACACACAAGACAGCATCAATCACAAGGTACACGATAATGTAACGTATTATGATAAACAATAAGGTAAATTATAAAGCATTATGGCCACTTGGAGACTACTAAAAGCTTTGTGAAAGTGCTACTTTGATACGTGCAATTGACTGAACCCCAAACTCCCAATACTTGACCCAACCTTGAGTCTCAGTTGATAAATGCATGAGACTGTTTCTCCATTGCATTTCAAGTATTGGTGAACATCACAGAAGGTTCATTAATTCAGAAGGCAAGCACTAGTAAAATGACGAGGGACTCTGGCCCATTTGACACTACAAAATGTTCTACCTAGAGAGCAGCACAGGTGTGGGAGGTACACGCATCATCCCGCCACCCCGACACTGACTACTCGGTGCTCGCCGCAACCACGGAATCACACAAGCGTGCTACAGGGAAACTCCTCTGGAATTCCATGTGCTCTGTAGGAACATGGAAGACTCCTTTAGCTGTGCAATTTGAACAGCACAAGAACCGATCTTAAAAATATTAAGCAGGCCACATACAACTACCGTACCTGCGAAGTCGGTACCACTGCCTCTGCAGGCTCAGACAGGAGTACCACACACTCACTGCCCTCAGTAGAATCATGCAAGTGCTTTGGGCAATTTTCTGATTTTCTTAGGCATGCGTAGATGCTTTCCTCAATATTAAGCTTTATCCATCTGTTGGCAAGTATGTTTCTGCACTACCCCAGTATTTTCTGGGACTTTTTCAAAATGGAACGTAACAAGTGACATGACAGGAAATGGCACATCCCACTTAGATGTTGCTACATGGCAAGATTAGTGACCAAGAGCTGTATTCCCAGATGACACAAACCACTGTTAGTTAACAAGCTCTGAACTCTGAGGTCAAGTCTCTGGTTTTCTTAACTGAGCAATACAGCTAAAGCATTGTATTTTCAGAGTACTACTTCCATCTCTGTATTCAGTTTAAACTTTTAAATTTGGTTCTACTGATTCCAATTTTGTTTTTAATCTTCTTCAGCTTCTGTCATCACAGGTCTGAGTTCCCCTCCAGGAACTGTACACATAGATCAGTTTCCACAGTTTGAGGTTCTGAAATGATGTGAAAGAACACAAGTCTCCCTTCTGTGACAACAATGCTTTTGCTATTTCTTAGTGCTATGACTTAAAACTACCACTTCATGACTTTACACACTGGGTCCACACTCCACAGGCATGAGGCTTCCAAACCATCTGACTTCATTCACTGTGAATGTTCTGAGACACTGGTAAAGCAACGCGTACACAGTGCTCACAGTATCTTGTATTATCCTGTGACAATTTGCTTCTCCAAAAGCCAAAGATCTTGAACAGGTTCATGCAATCACCATTTAGTTCTTAAAAAAAACCAAAAAAACAAAAACAAAAAAAAACAGGCCAAGATATGAAATATGTTTTATTTTATTAAACCTCTCATGGTGTTCGGGTTTTGTATCAGATTCTTCAAGCTGGTACTTGTGGATATAATGTCTCATGGTGGTTGGTTCCAGCATCCATACAACTGTAAATAAAAAGTTAAGAGCTTTTGGAAAAGTTTCACCACCGCGCACGTGAAACTGGAAGCTTACAGACATGTAACAATTTATCTGACAGTTTTAATGCAATACAGACATTAATAGCTCAAAGAATTTGCTTCATTTTACTCATACGAGATTACAGATGCCTTTGAACACAACAGCTCACAACTGTTTAACAAGCAGGTAACAAGCTGTTCCCCCTCTCAAGGAACTCAGACCAGCACTAAATCATTTATTCAGTAGCTTGCAAGTGTCTGGTACCTGGCTGGTAAAAAGGTAAAAAAGAACCCATTTCATGTATGAAACTGACTTCATCCACATCCTGTGTCTCAAGCTTAGGTTCAGAAGGCACACAACATGTATTTTATTTGCAAATCAGCCTGTTTCATTCTGCACAAGTGTCCTGTAGCATGTAGGGGACCATACAGAGCTGAAATGCATCAAATCCCTCCAGCAGTTAAAATTCTTAAATTGTCACAAAATCCTGCCTTGAGTAACAAATGTACATACACAGTGTAAATAGTTGTCCTTGTTAAACTGACCTTTGTTTACAAGCAGTTACAAACTACATAGAAGACCTTTATATATAAATTATGTGCTGACCACTTCTTTAGTGAAGTCAGTCTCCAACCAGGAGGATCATTAGTCCAAGAAAGTCTTCCCTGTAAATAGCTGTAAACCACTCTGTCACGCTAGGCCAGCTGGCTTTAAATTCTCAGCCACTGTCGTAAGTAGCATGCAGAGTGCACAATGCAGCACCTGAGTAAGGTATTTCTCCATATAGTAGCATAATACCAAGTTGATGAGAGATGGAAAGTTGCTGTCAAGAGACCTACCAAAATTTAAGTTCCACGACACCTTGTATGATGCCTTTTACAAACACAACGGCATCCCTGTTGGGAACCTGGTTAACCACAGCCTTGTTAAAGCAGATAAACTTTGTCATGTCCCCAGAACAATTAACAATCTCTACACGGAATACGTACAATCTGCATTAAGATGATACCGACCTATTAGAGTTTTACTCATCTGCCTGCTGCACTGTTCCTTTCTCAGAGACATAGATACCATCCAAGAATTTCCTGATATCCTTGTTCTTGACCGTAGTGGCTTGCTGGATCAAGGCAGCTGCAGACAAAATGAGACCATTAGCATAAAGCAAGAGGTCCGAGCGAACTCATTGCTCTTGTTTACTCTCCAATATTTCAACTAACAAATGAAACTCTCATCCGGAGCAAGAAATTACCAACTTGAAATCCTGTCGGTTCTCATGAAAACAGAATGCATTTCACTAAGCCTGTCATGGCAACTCTGGGCAGTGACAGTTTATGACTGCACACAACTGAAAAACTGAAAAATTTGGTGCCAAAAAGGCCATCAGTACTGACTCAAAAAAAAAGGTGCTGTGGACTTGCAAAAACATCTCTAATTTTAGAAAAAGCATAAGAAACTATGAAAAGCAACTAGGGTGACTAGAGGGAAAAAAATCCTGAGCTGTTTTTTACCTCAGGGTTTGAGAAAAAAAGGTAGTTTGCTGAGCTGACACCTTCAGATAAAAGTGGTCCTATCATCATAACTTCCCATGAATCTACTTTCACAAACCTGAATTGGAGACCAATTCAATGTCATTCCCTTCAAGGATCAGCTCATCTTTCTGGGCTTGAGATACCGCACAGGAAACACCTACAGAAAGGAAAATGCACAATCTACATCATTAGTGAAGACATCATGTGTACTAAAGAAACAGTATTCATGTCCTGTCCCAATTTACATATCTAGAATGTAGTACTCTAACCAGTAATTAGCTTCTATGACTTAAAAGTCCCCCAAATCCCTTCCAGGATTGTCCTCCCTCAGTTTCAGAACTCAAAGATGAGTGCATGTCATGCTCTGGACTGACAGCAACTAAGTGATGCTCCTACTTAAAATGTTAATCACCAACACCGTGTACAAGCCAGAGATTTTGCCAGCATGGCTTCTTCAGCTAGGTGGTGCCATTTTCCACATTCTTATGTTCATTAAGACAAAACTGGAGTGACTCCAATCAAAAGTCATTAGAAAAAAAAAAAAAACCTGGCCCCTGACATGTCAAGCACCATATTTATACTAGCTACACTGCAAATATTCACATGGAGTAAACACTAGGACATTGAAGAGTCTAACAGGAGACTTTAATTTGCAAGGAGAGTAACACAAATAAGTTTTAACAGTTTGATTTATTTAGGCAATAAATGTTAGCTTTTAAGCCAGCACTTTACTAACTATGAAGTAAATGCTGACTTAAAAAAATCAAATACAATAATCTAACCCACTCTTAGTATTTCACAGTAAGTCAAAGTCAAAGTCAACTTAAGTGACTGCACTGTATCTACCAGTGGTTTTGGAAAAGTCCAAGGATTTCATCTAAAGCCACCCCAAAACACCACCAGTCACACTAAATATCCTTACCCATACTGCATCAGAAGTGGAACTATCAAAAAAATGGACGTGGAAAGTCTTCCCTACAGTTTTAAGGTAACTGCGTTTATGACATGTTTTATCTCCTCCTTTTGGAAGGTTAACAAGCTCCATCAAATGCCTTCTCTGTTAGACACTGTTAGACATTTTGCTAAAACTCCAAGCATGCAAGTCTTAAAACCAACAAGAAAGATGATGATTTTGATGTTTGTATCTTACATGCTCCTAGACAGTCAGGACATTCAAAATACAACTCTTCAAAGACCAAAAATATGATGTGGTGTGAAACCAGTTCAGGTAAGATTTTAAAAACTGAAACACAAGCCTAAAATTAAGCACCTGGAGTTTACCAGCTACGAACACTGTCAAGATCTCACGATGATGAAAGTAAACACTGGGCCCCCTGGAACTCATTCCAATAACTAGCTCTAAACTTGTTATTAGCTAGGTCTCATTTCTAAAAATAAATTACAAAAGCATTATTAAGTCTAAATAGTGGTAAAGGTATCATAAGATAACACAAATTCAGACAGGCAAATGCTGATTCAACAATCATTCACCATCTCCTGTTACCAGTGGCAGTACCCAAAGAAAATAGTTTAGAAACCCTAGCTGGAAATAATGAAGTACATCTGTAGATATGCTCACCTGGCCTCATACGCACTCTGCGAATGTACTTCTCTCCCAGGAAGTTTCGGATTTCCACAAGTGAGCCATTATCCTGTATAACTACGTTGATTGGGAAGTGAGCGTACACTGACCTCATCTTGTAACGGAATCCCTACGATAAAGGACATAATCGGATATTAAAAGTAGAATGCATCCAAAAGGTAAAACAGATGCATAAAGCTTACTGAAGGTATCTAAAACCAAGATACTGAAAATAGTTTCTTAACAAGAGCAAGCTACTGAGCCCAAGACATCCAGAGTTTATCGTTCATGCTTTCTTCCACCTGCAGAACTTGTTTGACGGCACGTGAAGAAGGAGAGAGAAAGCTACATCTTGGATGCTTAGAAAAGCTCTCACTAAATAGGCTGTCTGTTGTTGTCAGTAACAAAAATGACACAAGTTATCCTATTTAAAAATCAAACTCACCAGTGTAACACCCTTTATCATGTTCTGTACATGGCTGCAAATTGTGCGAACTGTTGCCAGCTCCTTTCTGTTACCCCACCACTTGTCAACACGCAGCTGTGTTAAAAACATAAATAGAATTGAATTCACAAAGCTTTCATTCAGCTACACTTCAAAACCAAATTAAACAATTTTGTGACACACCAAGAGTGAGAAATTCAGGTAAACTACTTGAAAGCCCTTCTAACAAAAGCACAAAGGTGCACAGTTCTTTTAAGTCCTAAGCTTCAGACATACGAGAAGTAACTTCTTCATGTCTCATTGCTAACAAATCTTCAAAGAAGCTGGGAGAGATATTCTGACATCTTAAGCTGAAAGATGTTTTATCAAATGCTAAACACTGAACAAGTTGTTCTAAAACCTGTCTCCTACGTATTATCTGTCAACTTTTTAACAGAACACTGTGTGGGGGTCCAGGGTTTTAATGAAACACTACATGCTTGTGGAAAAAGTAGGAGAAATCAGCGACTGTTCCCTTTTTTTGATGTTTTTTTAAGACAGTGCAAAATTATTACACATTTATTTAGGAAACATCTGCCCTCCTGATGTGACTTACCAATTCTGGAAATTAAATGTCGAGATTCAGCTTTATCTAGTTAAAACTAGCCAGTTTCTAAAACACAGCATATACCAATCAATCCCCTTCCTAGTAACAAGCTGACTGTAACTACAAAAGAAAATTGATCAACCAATTCACTCCAACGTATCACAGACCCTCAAGAATTCCACAGTTCCCAGACAGGTCCCAAAGTTCCATGAGACCAGCCTCTTTTGGAAAACACAGAAGTGAAAAATTAAATAACTTATCCACAGCCTAAAATTTTATTCTAACCTCCTACACTTTCAAGAAGTTTTAAAGCTAACTGTATAGCTACCCCTCCCTTGTCGGGCAGGGAAAAGGCCTCCGCAGCACCCACCTTCTTGCGCTTCTTTCCCAAGAGGGAGAGCTCCACATTGATGTGGTTAAAATCCCTTCGCAAGGTTCCTCTGGGGCCTTTCACAATGACCGTCCGGCCCTTCAGCGACACGCTGACTGGAAACCAAAAGCAGACGCACGTTAACCGGCCGCGGGGTCGGCACCACGAAGCGCCTGTCAAAAGCACACGCAGCCGTACCTTGCTCGGGGATGTCGACGGTCTGGTTGCTGAGAATGGTCTTCATCCTACAAGGCACAACCGGGAGAAACTGCAGACCCCAGACGCGAGGCCCTTCTCCTGCGCCCTCTCCGCTCCTCCCCCGCGCGCACCCCGAAACGCGCCACTACGGGGCACCGACCCGACGCTTCCCCCACAAACCCCAACCTCCTCTGCCACCCCCGGGCCGCGCCGCCGATACCGCGACACCCCTCCCAGGCCCCGGGGGAGCGGCGGACACTCAGCGCTCAGCTCCGCAGCGGGGCCCAGAGCCGCCGGGGCACGGGGGGATTGGGGCGTGTCACCCCGGGGGGGGGGGGGGCTTCCCCCCCGTAGGTCCCGGGTGAGGGCGCGGCGGCTGGTCCGGGGAGGCTGCCGGCGTCCCGGGGGAGCGGCCTATGGGGCTGCCGGCGGCGGATGGCCGCGGATGGCGGCAGATGGCGACGGATGCGCCGGTCCTCACCTCGCAGCGGGCAGGGCGGAAAGAGGCCGCAGCTGACGTCATCACGTACTCGTTAAGCACTCCCGGCCCCTTGGCGTCACCACGCGAGGCTAAGACGCTCAAAAGGCAAGAGCAGCCGACGCTCGATGCGTGCGAGATGAGGGGGGCGGGCAAGCAGGCAGGCGGGGCGGCCGAGCGCTGAGTGGGTCGATCGGGTCGCCGGGCGGGCGCCGCCATGTCGCTGCTACCGTGGGGCCGACGCGGCGGGGCCGCCGCCACGGCCGCCCGGCGGCTGCTGACGGGGCTCCGGGGGCGGGTGAGTCAGCGCCGCCGTACTGCAGGGGGGTGCCGGGCGGACGGGGGTGGGCCCGGCGGGAAGGAGACCTCGGGACGGTGCTCCGGTGAGGGGACGGGGCGCGTCGCGGCGGCGGCAGCCGGTGCCGTTATCCGAGATGGCCGCGGGAGGGATGGGGAGGCTCCCACGCACACCCGCACCCACGCCCGCACCGCGAAGGGGAACCGCGGGCCCCATCCGCTTTAAACCCCGCTTTGGGGAGCCCGACTTGTGCGGCGTTTGCATCAACATAACGCCCGTCAGTGACTGACCTGGCAGCGGACGGTTTTAATCGTCTCCACGTCTCGGTTTTCACCCCTGAAATTGCCAGTTAATCCATACAATGATATTTCTGTCCAAAAACTGTATAACTTAGTTTGATCGGGCGGTATTTTGGAAAAGATCGTGCTTTATGTCTGTTTCACGTGCCTTAAAATGAAGAAGAGAATTAGAGGTTTAACTTAAAGCTAATTGGGAAAATGCTTACACAGAGCGTACCTTAACCACCAAAAAGACAAACAGTTATTTAGAATATAATGCTAGTACATTTATCATTCAGTAAATTATGGTGTTGCTTCTCTTAGGTGTCTGGGAGCCATGTGTGTAACCAGTACAGAGCATCAGGTTCTTCGCCAGAAGAAAAAAAAGAGTTTCTGCAAAATGGGCCAGAATTACAAGACTTTGTATCTGGAGATTTGTCAGACAAGAGCACGTGGGCAGAGTATAAAGGCAACTTAAAGCGTCAGAAAGGAGAAAGGTAATTGTGATTTTAATAACCTGTATTTGCTTCCATCCGCTATCTTGCATGTTTAGTATTAGCTACAACATGCACACAATGTATTTTTATAAATTTGGTCGTACTGGCTTGCAAATTTCATATTTTTTCAAGAAAGACCAAGCATGTTACAAACTTCAAATGCAATCAAAATGTGAAGATATGGTGGCACTTTCTCACTTGAGTGCCTATGCCGTGGCCTGTATTAAATTACAAATATATATCAGTAGTTGAGTGTACCCTACTTTGGTGTTGAAAAAATATTATTGATAGAGTAAAACAAAAAAGGAAGACTAAATTAAAAAAATTCTTAAAGCCTCCATATTTCCAGTTACAAATCTGATCCGACTTTGTGGTAGCTGTGGAACATATACTGCCATTAATTGTTGCAGTCTCCAGTGTGGTACTATTAAGTCCCACCAGTACGGTTAACAGTTTTAAACATTTGAATGACAACAAACCGTTACTCTTGAATGTTGGGATGATGATAAACATGGAAGAGGGAAGTCCATTATGACCATGAATGAAGTTAATATTGGTTGCTGAGTTGTGTCAGTTTTCGAGCAGCCTTTCCTAGTTGGGATCTGTAACAAATTAAAGTGGATCTGTAAAATTAATAGAAGCTTAGCATGTAAATAATCTATTAATCTTTATATTTTCTTGATGTTACTCAGGCTGCGACTTCCTCCGTGGCTGAAAACAAAGATTCCCATGGGAAAGAACTACAATAAACTAAAGAATACTTTGAGGAGTTTAAATCTTCATACGGTAAATCTAGTACCAGCCAAGTTTTCCTGTAGAAAGAAGGCATTTTTTACAGATACAGAATTATTTCTCTGTGGAAGACAAGCAGAACACGTTTTGCATGATCTTCAACGCTGAAACTAAAACCCAATGCTGGTCTTTTTTTCCAGCAGAGAATTCTACCTATAAAGAATGGAGTCAAGTTCAATAGAGTATTTCATGGTTTTCTTGCCGTGACTTTAAATTCTAAGGTTTACTACCTGCATCACCAAACAGATCAGAAGATGCTATGTTTTACTTTTTAATGGAAAGACACACAATTTCAGAGTTACATATGTGTTTCGCATGAAAATAAATTCTAGGAATACATGTATTTCGTTAAATATACCTTCCAGATGGTAAAAAGTGGTAGGTATGCATCAAGAGCTTTTTCCCTTTATTTTTTTTTCAGAGTAAGGTCATGCTTTGATGCATCATAGGCTTTGTGAACATTTTATCAGTTTTTACATTTAAAATGTCAATGACAGTCTGTGCTAATTAATAAGGCTGAGGAGTTTTTGGAGTTGGGAAGTAGGTGAAAAGAATGGCAATGGATGTCACGAAACAATTCTTCTCTTCCTATCTATTCTACTGACTTATAAAACAACCTGTAACTGTTAATCTCCTCACAGTCACAGAAGGAATTATGTTCTGTTTGTAGGCTACTATTGAAATTGATCAATAATATAATTTTCAATAATATGGAAAAAAAGACAGGTACATTACTGTCTTTTACCTTTAGGTATGTGAAGAAGCACGTTGTCCCAACATTGGAGAATGCTGGGGAGGTGGTGAATATGCTACAGCTACAGCTACTATTATGGTAACCCATTAACCATTCCTTAAGTGTTCTGCTAATGTTTGAGCTGTTTATACTGTTGGATCTCTACTTTTGTGGAGTGGGTATATTACAAGAAATTTAGACTAAAGCACTGTCCTAGTTTTTTTGCCTAGTATTGGGATTTGTCTGATCTAGCGTATGTAGCTGGGTTTCAGCTAAGCAATAGTGACATGTACAGTGTAAAGGTAGGAATGTCTTTCTTATTTCAGCTGATGGGTGACACATGCACTAGAGGTTGCAGATTTTGTTCAGTAAAGACAGCAAAAAATCCACCTCCACTGGATCCCGAGGAGCCTTACAACACAGCAAAGGCTATAGCTGAGTGGGGCTTGGATTATGTTGTATTGACGTCTGTGGACAGAGACGGTTAGTATGTTGTCTCTCATCTCTTCCAGTGTAAGCTCTCTTATACATTATATGGGGTAAACACAGACCTGGATAAACATTTATCACTCAGCACAGTTGTTGAGGATTACTATTTTTAAGGAGTCGACAGTGCTGAAACTTTGGAAAGTTTCTACGTATTCTTAGTATTTCTCTATGTCTGGTAAAATATATCAGAAGTCACATTTCTTAAACATAAAGAATATTACAATACTAAATACAATACAATAATAAATACAATACTAAATATTTTATAACTTTTAATAACTATTATTTATTCATTTTATATTTTTTTTCAAAATACATCCATATACACCATGTTCTATTACCTGATTAGCTAAAAACCCACCCACCTACACCAACTTCATATACAATACCATTACAGAACTTCCTTCCAAAAACTAAACGTGAAATATATGTAAAAAAACTGAAAGTTGCTTTTTTTCTAAGGTTGTAGTAGCTTCTTTGTGGGGAAAACCACTGTAAAGACTGTTTAGTATGGTGGAAAGTCCAGTAGCTTTGAAGTGGCTTACAATAAAAGAGCAATAATGCGTATATTTCAATTTTTGTAGAACTGTTTCTCAGACCAACACCATAAAGAGGTAAAGCCATTCAGTGCCCAGGCTGACAGTGAACCTAGAGACAGGTAAATTCGGAGTAAACATTTGAAGCCTGCCCTAGATGATCACAGACTTTGTGCAAAACAAGGCTTGGTAGAATATATGTTGTAAATAAGTGGCATAAGTGGTAAGATAAGACTGGGGTTTGACTGCTTTATTATTTTGCATTTAAATTGGAATCCACATGTTTTTCTTGGCTTCACTAATGAGTAAACACATTTCTTGAACAGAAAGGTTAACTGAGTAATTGAAATGCTTCTAGATATGCCTGACGGTGGAGCAGAACACTTTGCAAAGACAGTCTCCCATCTGAAAGAAAGGTATATCGTTAATGTATTACTATTATTAAAACTTTAGAATGTGGTACTGCATATAGGTCAAAATTACTTTTAGCTGGACTATTCCAGGGGCCATGCAAATACAAAAGTCTGCCTTTAGCCCATCTGTGTCTGCCTTTAGCCCATCTGTGTCTTTTTTTTTTTTTTTTTTTTTTTTTTTTTTTCCTCCTGTTTTTCATCTTTCTCATATCATGGCCCCAAAGTATTTTGAATTTGGATGCATTTCCAATTTAGCCCAGGTTTATTTGAAGCTAAGTACTGGACTATTTCTTTGAACAGGCAGCTGGTGGTTTACCAGGAAATAAGTACATACTTTTGAGGTATGTTCATTCTTGAAGCTCGAGGCTCAAACAGTGGATTTAGATAACAGTGTCACCACATGACAGAAGAAGTTGGGTTTCTCTTTCAGCAGATTGCTTTGTTTTCCCACAATGGCTGTTTTTCAGTCTGTGATTGTACCTTCCTGTTTTACCTAGCCGCGCCTTCATAACATCGGTGCCCTGCACGCCATTTGATAGCATACTTGTCTACCTGCAGATTTAATTTCTATAACCCCATTTAAGTCTTTACCCAATTTATCTTGGGACTTGAAAGGTTCCTGCAGTTTTCCCCACCTGCCTTTCTGAGCTGACTGGCTCCTGAACACCAAGGTTAGATTCCAGGGCGGTAATGCAGAGACTTCTTACTGCTGTAGGCAGAATTACAGCTCCTCTGTGTTTTGGAGCTATGATATTAAACTCATGTTAGGTTAACCTGCAACAAAGACACGGGAAAAATCATATATAAACAGTGAAAGCGATTGTTCAAGAGACTGTTTGAATCGCTTTTATAGTTCTTATTTGGCTTTCCTTCTATTTCAGCTCAGATCAGTAAAATCAGGAATTAAACACGATGTTTTGTTTGAATTGTAATACAAGTATTTGCAGAAATCTGTTGTTTTAGAATTGTATCCCAAATTAACTTTGCTTTACTTATCAGACCATCATTTATTTGGCTTTTTACATTTATTTGTATTTTTAAATTTATTTGGGTTTTTACATTTATTTGGTTTGGGGTTTATGTTACGTTTATGATGATATTTTTATGCTGTATTGAGTTTTTTAGCAACAGTGACACAAATCCCATAGATGTGTTAATTTTGCCTCTCCTTTTCAGGAATTCAAAAATCCTGGTAGAATGCCTAACCCCCGATTTTCGAGGAGACCTTAAAGCTGTGGAGAAAGTAGCGTTGTCGGGACTGGATGTGTACGCCCACAACGTGGAGACGGTGCCAGAATTACAGAGGTAAGCAGTACCAGTACGTATCAAGGGAGGAAAGCATAAAACGGGCGAGGGGTTTTGTGAGGGGCATCTTTGCGCCGGGGCCGGGCGGGCGGGACAGGCCGCGGGGCGAAATGGCGCGGGGCGCGCGGCGGGCCGGCCCCGCTCCCAGCCTGCCTCGCGCGCGGCGCCGCCGCCGCCCTGCCCGCCGCCCGCCGGCAGAGGGCGCCCGCGCCGCGCCCCGGCCCGGCCCTCAGGCGGTGTCGCCTCATCCCCCACCCTCCTCATCCCACCCCTCGGGCCGCCGCCTCTGGAACCGGGCCGCATCCCATCGCTTTGGGAGGCTTCGGGGAGGGGGTTTCAGCCAGTGTCAAAACTACACAGCTAAAACCTCCCGAGGTGCCGTTTTCGCTGTGTGGAAACGAGCAGACCGCGCCTTTCTTGGCATCTCTAACTCCTGTGCGCCCTTTCATGCGTTTTTAACCCTTGTGCTGAAAATACGAAAAGGAAGGTCCGTGATCCGCGAGCCAACTTTGAGCAGTCCGTGCGTGTGCTGAGGCATGCTAAAGAGGTCCAGCCCGGCGTCATTTCTAAAACCTCCATTATGTTGGGGTTAGGCGAGACAGATGAACAAGTATATTCCACAATGAAATGTAAGTTGATGTTGAAATATATGCCAAAATTCACAGGTATGGATTTTATTGTGTTGGAAAACAGTTGTAAGCATCTTTGCCTCTACATGCAAATCAGTTTGCTGGTGCAGGAAATGTTTTCTAAGCTTTATGGACAAAAAAGAAAAAAAAAAAGTTTAAAAAAAGATTGAACTTCTGAAATATTTTGCCTTCATCTGGCTTTCAGATTCAGTTTGACAGGTAGATCCAGCTCATGTCGATTTCAATGGAAATTATAACTACCTTTGTGTGACCATATTAACATTCTTATCTTTGCAATACTTAAATAATGGACTTGCAACATAGTTGCCTTATTGCAAATCCCTTTTTAGAAATAGCAGACCTGATTGTTTAAAATAAATTATTTCAGCTTATTTAGATGCAGAAAAAGCTGCTCTTCTTGCAGCTGTAGCAAGTTCTTATGTTTTCATGTAAATGTATTTTTAAGAGGAGAAAATTTCATAGCAGTAACTGAATGCAATGCACTTGTACAAATAATAAATCCTATGGCATTTCTCCCATACCCTGAAAGAATGTCTACCTGGTACTTTATTTTGTGTCCAGCAACCCATATTTAGAATGCAGTGATACAGTCTAGTTTTTCTGCAGCTGTCCGACAGTTGGGCCCATAAAATTACTGTTCCTGATTGTCCCATTCTCCCTTCCTAGCATTTCCTAGCCACAAGAATATGAAATTTCTGATTTGGTGCTATTTGTTTTCAGGCCACTTTCGTGCATGTATTTGGAGACAAACTTACCCACCACATTCATTCCGTTACCCTATTTTTGTTCCCCTTCCATCCTCTCGGTGTGAGTTAAAGAACATATGAATGTGCTGATATTGAACCAGTTTCTTTACAAAACCATTTTAATCTAAACAGAGATTCTAAGGTAAAAGTGAGTATAATGCTGTAGTCAAAACACTGTCTTTTTCTCCAATTCGATGTGGGGCAACCAGCCCAAGTATCCAGAAAATACATGGAGATGTTCATGCAAAATCTGATTCTTCAGCCATCCCTTTGTTCAGAGTACCCCACTAGCTGCAGTGAACATAATTCAGGCTAGCTGACTATTGGGTGTCTGCATTTCCCTCTGTAAGTAGACTACCTGAACTCATTTGCTGTAGATTGATCCTAGTACATACTCAAATTTTACCAGAGAAAGCTTATGAGATTCTGCAGGCATCAACACTAACGTACATCATAAGTATGTAAAACTGGCCAGAGAGGTTGGCAGTTTCCCCTGATTTACAACTCTTTAGAACTGTCCACATCTTTTCGGCATGAAGTCTCTTGAAACAGTGGAGAAGTGCCAAGTGTATGTGCATGCTTCCGTTTTTTGTCAAATGAAGGCTCTGACCTAAAGGCACAATGAAAAGCAGTAAGAGAAAAAAGACAAGAGCATGTCATCTCTGCAGTGAGACACGTGACTGCAGTGAAGTGCAGCGCAGTGGTATTCTCTCTAGCTTCAAACTAGATCGCTCAGGCCTTGCAGCAGCATGGAGCTCAGAACGAGGTGTGTGGCTGGTGCTCCTGGAGGTTGCAAGTTCCCTTTGCAGGAGAGCAGAATGTAACCCTGCAGGGTGCTGCAGAGAGACCTTTGCTCAGGCTTGGAAGGAGGGTATTTCTGCTTGCTGAAAATCCCTCATGATCCTTCTGCCGCTAATGGGGAATTTTGTTTTTACAGTATTGCGGGAAGCAGATGTAGATTGTTTGACGCTAGGACAGTACATGCAACCAACGAAGCGTCACCTAAAGGTAAAAATGCCTTTGATTTACAGACAGTGTTATGGTCTGTACCTTGCACAGTCAAGTTTCCTCTTTCTTAATTGAGGCTTGATATGCATCCTTACCTTAACTGCAGATGCTGGGAAAAATTTCCTTCCTTGTTTAACCTGAGCTTCATCTGTTATGGACTCTTCACTAAAAATTACCTCAGCCATCTAATCCCTTCCATCTTCTGCAGGCTTCGCATTGCTACTGTCTGCTATTAACTGGGGAGACAGCTGAAGCTGAGGCATGATTCTGGAAAACCTGAATTTCAGTGTATCTCTCAAACATAATGGCTCAAGCCAGATCTTCTTCATTATCTCATAGGCTCTCCCTTAATGGTGCCACATCACCTGGGAAATTACCGTTTTCTCCTTTTGTAATCGGTCCAGACCTTGAGTCTCTGTTCTGTTCCTGTGCTTCACTGAAGTAACTGTTAGTGAAGAGAATGTAGGACTACTGTATTTTTTATTACTAACTTGGAGAAAAAAAAGGGTTGCTGGACAGGACCATTCAAAAACAGAGTGAAGAAAATTACAGAATAACAACTAGAAATTAAATTCTAAACTTTTGGCTAAATATGAAAAGCGAATAAAATGCATTCTCTTGGTAGAAAGCAGAGAGAAAATTGCGTTTGTGACTTGACTGCTGAAAGTTTTGGAGTGTAAAATTTTGAACTTGCAATATAACTGCGTTTCATGTGACTACATGCTAGCTATAGCCATTTCCTTTGCATTTATACCCGATAAAAATTAATTCTTTTCACTCAGGTTGAGGAATACATAACTCCTGAAAAATTTAAGTACTGGGAAAAAGTTGGAAATGATCTCGGATTCCATTACACTGCCAGTGGGCCCTTGGTGCGCTCCTCCTATAAAGCAGGTAAATTACTGAAAAGCATTCGATTCTTTAGCACGTACCATTTTATTATATAAAATTAAAACAGTGAAGTAATATGTAACAAAGCTCACCTTAGCTCAGGGGCACCTCAGGTAGTCAACCTTTGGGTTTTTTTTTAAATTATTTACACTTACTATCTTCTGTAGGCCACCTGAATGCATCAGTGTGACAGTAATTGATATTTGTACAATTGCTGTGCTGCTTAAGCTAATTTTTTGCCAATCCTAGTTTGTAGTATACTTAATGCGTAAGGCAGGATAAAGGGTACCCAATTTGCAAGTTTTTCTTTGCATTCTGCCTCTTGGATGCTTCAGGGTTTAATGGGGCTCTTTGTGATGTAATTTTGTTGCCTCAGGCAGAATTTATTTACAGTGCTTTAGAAATAATTACACTTACGGCAGTGCTTTTTCTGACAAGGCACTAGGCATTAAGTAGCAGCTGATATTAATGGAACTGTTGTGTAGGTCCAACAGCCTGCTTTTCCCTAAGGAGAGAGCAGAGAAAACTCATCTGGGGTACCTTGCTTCTTGGACTGTTTTAATGGCAGCTTAAACAAGATTTACAGCAGGTTTTACTCTAGGTTGCTGATATTTTTTGAAATACGAATTAATTTTTAATTAATTAAATCAATTCACCTTTGCCTGTCGGAAGTCACAAAGAAGCAGAGCTCTTGCATAAAATTGGGCATGAGGAAAATCAGGATTTTGGGCTGGAGAGGTTGTTTAGGCTCTGGGCTTGGGGTTTTTTTACATCCCTACTGTATGTGTCAAATACACTGTTGTAGAGATTTGAATTACAATTGTTCTTACCAGTATTTTATAGTATTGTAGAGCAGAATACTCACATTAAATAAGAATGTGTGTTTTGCTTTATTTCATTGAAATATCTACAAAATATTTTGGTGCTTTTTTTGCTTTTTAATTAGGTGAATTCTTCTTGAAGAACCTAGTAGAAAAAAGAAAGACAAAAGCCATCTGAAGATGAGAGTGAACTTATTTAAAGCAGCCAGTTTTAAGGATCCCTTTTTCAGCACATAATTATACGCAGTTCCAGAAAGGCAGAAGGCCATATGGTGGATGTATGAATAAACTTACTATCTTTCCAGAACACTTTTCTCTCACCAAAACACTTCACATTATTTTACCTCCTTCTTCCTGGCAAGGCTACAACTACATAGTACTTCTGCTGTTTGGCAAAAAGTCAGAAGAGAGAACTGATTTTGAAAGAGAGATGGAACTGAGGTGGAAGAAATGGAAGCTGAAAAAAAAAAAAATCAGACATTTAAGTGAACAGGTTTGATACTACCATCAGTATTGCTACAGTTGTTATTTGTGAATATGCTAATAGTAATCTGAAAGGTACTGATATTTTGGTGTATCTTACCGTTACGTAACATCAGCTTGCAGGGGCTCTGGCAACTGGAGTTCTGAAGAAAAATTGTGTACAGGGCAGAGGACCAGATTAGGGCTATCTTGAACCACACCAGAGCAAGGATTGGTAATACTCCTTTAAGAGAGGTCTCTTACCTACATCTTAAGAAACTGAGCCATACCATTCTGATAGCTCATGCTTTTCAGCTGCTTGCATGTCTCCAAGTGTAAGCCTTAGTAAACACGAGGTATCAGACTGAAGAAAACAAGAGCCTTTTGTGGCAAGACAAATTAACTGGGTGTAGATCCCAAATAATTTAAACCATGTGGAAAATGAGTTGCCCTAACAGCATAAATAGAGCCACCCCAGTTTGGGGATATGACTGCACAGGTGCTCTTTGGTACTGGGTATGCAGGACTGTTGCTATTCTGTATTGTGCTTCTAATCCACAGGTGTTGCCTTATTAAAGGAAAGTTCAAAACCCAGTCTAAGGGTGTGTTGGTTGTGTGTGTGTGATCTGGTTACCTGTCCCCTTGAGACCTGGCCTGGCTGCTTGAATGCAGAGAAGTGAAGTGTATTATAGATGAAATGTGAAATCCGTTGTGTAGCCTGCTAAGCTCAAGCAGAAATAAAAACAGGGCTTATGGTATACTAGCAGCTGTAAATTCTTTATAGTCATGCTAGTTCAAAATGCATCTCTAATCATTCTCAGTTGTCTGCTATGGACATTTTTGAACTGGCTTCAGTTATATCTTCATGAAGTTATTTGAGAAACATGCCAGAAGTTTGCTATCTGGTCCCACACTCTCACCCTGCAGGTAATGCTAGGGCTGGCTGAAGGGCTTTTTTAAACTACTGCAGTCCATATGAAGGACAGTGGACGCTCCACCCACCCCAACTCAGCCAGATGTTAGAAGGAAGACAGCCAGTTAGCAGGTTAATATATAGGAGAAACGTGAGACTGTCATGAGCAACAACTATCAGATTATGCTGGTGAGGCCAGTGATGCACAATTGACACCCAACAAAATAAAGTATGAAGTACAGCAATATTAAAGCATTATGAAGACAAATAGCCTCAAGCTAGAAGGAATGTACTAATTAAACAGTGTAATGGAAGTGTAAATTAGGGGAAGAGAAACCCCAGCCATGAAGAACAGAAACAGAAGTCTTAATAGCTGTACTTTGTAAAAGGCAGAGGCAGGCAAGGCATCTTCCTTTTTTTTTTTTTATTAAAAACATATTAATAATGGATGTTAAACTTAAAAAGAAGTCTGATCACTAGTCTTGAAAATACCAGGCATACTTTGAGCCAAAAATGCCCTGCTTCAGCTGAAGTACACTGAATGCCAGAGCAGTTGAAGGTTATCAATTATGGTAGGGAAATTCAACATCCCCTCCACAGCAGCAGGCAGGGAGAGGTGCAACATTAACTCCAGGATACCTGCACATTTAACAACTGCCAGCGTTTATGAGGGGTCCTACTATAAATAATGGTTTTGACTTACCTACAGAGCAGATTTAACAGAATTATTACTGTAGCTTTTGCCAAGTTACTGCTCTTTCAGCATACCAACACCAGAAATATGGAAAAAGGAATTCTGAGCCACACAGCTATTATCAAACTGGAACAAGAGAACACTGCACAGTAATTATCCATGACTTCTTTACAGTGAGAGAAATAATCCTTCTGGAAACACAGTCCAATCTTATTTCATGTTAGAATTATCTTGTGAATTGCTGCTGGGTGGTTTAGGAAGATTATCTCATGCTTTTACACAGCTGTCTGCCATCTGGTACCAAGTTTCAGAGGCTACATAAGCTATTTTCTAACTGCATGTTTTGCTGTAGTTTCTAAGGAAAGCAGACACATTCTGACTTCATACATTGGAGGGGTGTTTGAGGATAAGGCCTAAAGTTCTTATCCTAGTCAAGAAATCCTGTTTTTACAACCATCTTCCTTCTTCCCCGTTCTGTTTTTCCATAACTGTGTGTTAGAGCACCAAACTCTCACAGAGGTCCTGGTTATAAATTCAGCACAGGTTTCATAACTATCTCAATTTTGTTTCCAATGAAACTTCATGTTTAGTGACATTTTCTTTTTGTATGCCAATCACTTCATTCTGTCAGTTTGTTTCACAAAGCAGCCATAAAGTATTTTAAGAAACATTCATCTTCCTTGCAATCAGGAAAACATCAGAGTTTTGGGAATATGATTTCAAGTTGACACAGACACTTTAAAAGAATGAATAGTCTTTTTTAGCATCATTACATCAATCTGCTACATGGTGTGAAGCATAATTAAACGTTACGCAGCTGACAGAGAACTGCTGCATCTTGCAGTGACTGCAAGTCTTCAGGTTAAATCAAAGCCAGAGTCTTCATTCAAGAATAATTTTTAAATTTTTTCCCTACTTGATCAATAATTAATACTGGTGTCCCCTTCATTTAGAAAGAAGTATTTGTGCTTCTTTACTACAAGATGTGGCAACTTATTGCAGATGTTCAAATTGCAACAGAAATTCTCAGCTTGAAAGAGAAAAAGCAAGTTATGAAAACTGACTCCAGTATTCCTAAATCAATCAGATAATTGTAAAGCAATGCAGGAAAGCATAATGGATTAATTTCCAATGTTAGTTGTTGAGCAAGATTATAGCACTACTGTAAATTCAAGATCAATAGAAGAACCTCAAGTGATAGAAGTGTAAACTTGTGGGCTAGTACAAAAATCTCACCACTAACTGCTCCTATACTAGTCAGTCAAAAATGTGTTTGTTCTATTCACTTGCAATAATCTTGGCTATCATACCCCTGGAACCAGGCTAGTTTTAGCTGCACAAAGGGTTGAACACGCATACACAGAAGAAAAACAGTGCATCTTGCCTGGCATTTACAATTTGTCTCTGCACATCTTGGGTAGGATTTATGCAGTCTGTATCATACTAGTCATAGGCTTGCATTAAAGCTGGATTTGCTTCAGCTGCTGTATTCCCATTTTTACAGTGAAAAGCAGTGTTACTGTGGGACTGCATTTCATTAAGAACCTCATAAAAAAAGAATCTCAGAGCACAGGAGTCCATTACTCATATTACACAACTCTTATCAAGAGTCTTACATGCTGTAAGATCTCATAGACAAAGACTCAATAGCATTAACACCATCTCTTACATGCACTACTCAAGCCTTCAAAGCAGGAATGCAAGTCATCTCCAATTCTTATTTCCCTGGCAACTGTACTCTGAATATGATGGCTTGTGATTCACAGTGCTGCAAAAGCTTCCGAAGCTCGCTCTTTTGGCCTGCGGTAAGGTTCTCTTGCATATATGCAAAGTAAGTATTGCAGTATCCTGGAGACATGCTCCACCAGCTGTTCAGTCTGGATTTGCCCCACAATCCCAGTGTCCCACTAAAAGAATGCAGCCGGCAAGAAACTAAATAATCTGACTCTCCAAGAAAGCAAGGGAAACACCAGTACCAGTTTTACCCCTTGTTGCTCTTCAGAAAGGATCTGCTGCTTCCCCTTTCCTAGGAAAGGGTAGTTAGGGTGATCCCACTATAACGAACTTGCCATTCTCTATCATCTTTATGATAAAGCCACAAATCACTGTCCATGCTTTGACTAAGTCTGCAGGAGAAACGGGGTAGGAACAGGGGCATAGCACCTAGTCCCTCTGTGTCCTTGTGGAAGCAGGTAAAAAGCCACTGGAAGCCCCAGCGACACTGACCAGCCTTGCAGATTCCTATCAGGAGCAACGCTTCACGCAAGTTTAAATTGTTCATCCATCTACTTCAAAACAGATGAGGACATGACCCATACTGACGCACTACTATTACAGCTCTGTGCAAGTTCCTGAAAAGCATCCCCATTTTCTGAAGCCTCTGCTCACCCCCTCTATTAAGATGAGCCCTGAAGCACTGCTGTGCTACCCTGAACATCATTCAGGACCAGAGATCCTTCGAGCACATCTTGTCAGTACCCTCTTCTTAATCCCCAAGGAGAAGTGACCAGCCTGTCCTCTCGGGTGCTATGGAGGCAGAGGTAGTCAGGAGGATGCCTACCTGCAAAGACAGGGTGATCTACCAGCTGGATTACAATGCTTACAAATACCACAGCTGTATCACAGGGTCATCCCTGCTCTGTGAGTGTTGTACAAAAGCAGCACTAGTGAATCAGAAAGACAAGATGGCATGATGAAAGATGACAGTTTGATTTAAGCCCCCATAGTTCCCACTCACTTTGAGTGGCTTCTGATGCGCTCCTCACAGAAGGATCTTATAATAGGACAAACAGCCTGAGGCACATTTACCCAAAGTGCTGAATGATTGCTGCATAATAAGTCCCTACGCATAATCCATTAACATGCAGAATCTGAAAGCATCTGGTTCAAGGATATGGCTATTTCAGTCAGGTAACCAATTTGCATAGACAATACAAGTTCCTTAAATCTTCAAATATCTGTCTGAAAGCTTAAATTGTATCTACATTTCTGTGAGTAAATAGTTATGATAGAGCTCATTACCAAGACAACACTGGTCTTATGCTCTGTTTAACTACTGATATAGCTATTTGAAGGCACACCTATTGAATTAATCCAGAAGGTATTATGTGACTACTTACAGGACAATTCTCTAACATCCCAACACTACTATTATCCAGCTAAGATGTCTATGCCTTCTAATCTGAAACCTGTTCATGGTCATCCTTCTCTAGCCTCCCCTCCGTTTCACAACCCCATGCAATAAGCCAAACGCAAGCTCTGTCATCTCAAAGACTTTAATAGCACTGGCCAATGGAGAATAATAAAAACAAGTAGAAATACTGAAGGCAAAAACATCAAGATAACATAGGAAGTATTCATTCCTGCTAATTAAATGAGGTAGCAAGCTGACTAATTTATGGGGCTGAATTTTTATTTTTAATAATTTCTTAACAGCAGAGAATAATTTTTGCAGATTCATTAAGAGAGCTGCTTTCAGATGAAGTATGTAAGCAGAAAGGAAGGAAAAAGATAACCATCAGGTAGCTTTGAAGCCAATATTTGCTTTCTACTTGAACTGATTATCAAATTAAGGAAATTCTGCTTAAATTCAATGCTCAAACAAGCAGAATGCTCCTCTGCTGAAGATGGGTTGTATTGCTGTAACTTAGGAAAAACATGCCCCAGGAATCTGTTTAGATCAATAATTTATGTGGCTGCACATGGAATGTAGGCAAGACGACCAAAGAATCAAAAGTGAAGATCTGCCAGTGGATCATCTTATAGCTGCTAGTCCACTGCCATTGATTTCATGATAGATGCCTGCAGAACGATCTGGCCTCCCAGCCGATGCCGTCTGGACCGTGTCAGTGCCAACTGATCCCAGCCAGGTTCGGGGTATTACTGTTGCAGTCAGCTCTATTTTAGGGCTCAACCCCAACCCTACCAAATTCACTTAGAACTTATCTTTTGACTTCAATGTCAGTTAGAGCAAGCATTTAACTGGTCAAATAATTACCCCAAAAGCAAATGAAAAATTGGTGAGACCAAAGTTTCTGATCACTGCCCATAACTGGATTAAAGTACAAAGATATTCTATTTCTTTTGTTTTCATATCACTTGAAACATTTAAAGTGCAGTTTAGGAACATTTCTGGAAGCAGAAATCTGCGGTTTGACGTTAACTTTTCTACTTAAAAGATGATTCATTATTAAAAACAGGTCGGTACCGTCTTCAGTAACCAAAAAAAATTGTTATAAAAATAGAGATTTGAAAATAGACTGAATTCACATGTACCAGGTACCATTTCTAGTGTAAAACTGGTTTCGTTTATGAAAAATATCTTTCCTTAAAAAAAGCATAGGCTTACAGTTATTATCCCTAAGAAGGTCCACAGAATTCCTTCAGTACCTATTAAACATTATACTCTAGGCTTTTTGACAGGTGGGTCCTGCAGGCTGAACTTAGGAATTTCACATGAAGAAGCAAAAGGAATTCTTTTGGCTGACACCTTCTTTCCAATTGTTTCAATCTGAAAGAGAAAACATATTTAGCAAGTGAGTGTGGCAAGCTAACATAATTATGTCAGCCTATGAAGAATCTACAAATTAAATCCAGGACCATGACTATATTTCATGAACGCTAGAATAATACAAGCCACAAAGCACAGTATGCCCAGGGACAGTTTCTGGCATTGGAGTTGCAAAGAGTTTTTTTTTAACAGTCTTTCACAGGTGCCTACTTTGCTTATTTAAAGCTGGGTCTTGCCAATCTGCACATGAATGTGTCCCAGCTTCCATAGGACTATTAGTACAAATATCATAAAATGTTTCTGGATATTCACAAAATGTGGGTTCAGCCTCCTTTGTCTAAAAATGTATAGACAGTAAATAAGGATAAAATCAGTTTTTTCCCCTCCTTAATGCAGTGGGTTGTTTCTGAAACAACGTAACTCTGAAAGGCTAAGGGCAGTCAACTCTATATAAGAGAAACCATGTAACAAAGCCAACACACACAAACCAGGTACTACAAAATTCAGAGAGCGAGAGTGTTCCCCTAATTTCTAGGTCAGATTAATGTAAATCATGAAGGACAGTGCTTGTAGAGGACAAAACACCAAAGCTAGTTGGTGCAGCTCAGTCAACCTGTAAATAAGGAGAGCTGTAGCTTTCCTCTTGAGTAAGTAGTGCAGGTCAGATGCAAAGCACCAAAAGACAAAACACTTCAACTATTTTAAATTTAACAGAAATTTGATGAACACATTCTTGACAGACATCCAAGTTAACCCTGAAAAGTTTTTTTTAAACAGTCATGTTAACTGTATGTACCATATTTGCCCATAAACAGCTTCAATTGACTGGTTAAATCAATTTATACAAGCCTATTCACAAACAGTGTAAATAGTGTAAACAGTGTAAATAGTGTAAACAGTGAGTAGTTTAAGCAGGGGAAAAAATACCAAGAGAGAAAGCCTAGAGCCATTATGCAAGTAGTCACAGTACTCAGGAGTACACAGAATGAAACACAACTGAAACATCCATCTGATCTGGTTTGTAGATTTTGTTCTGATTGTGTCTGGCTGAGATACTTCTATGAGATTATTCAGGGATTTGGTGATTTTAGTATTAGTCAAATTCTGTCTGTTCTAGAAGTGCTTCAAGCCCTTCAATCAAGGCTTACTCTGCTTTCCCCACTTGAGACCTGAGCAATTTCTTCTCAAATCAGAAATTACTTTTCCTAGAATTACAGAGCTTCCCATTCTTATTTCCTGAATTAAGCTTCTACTGTGGAAACAGGTTATAATTGAAATGGTAGGTGTGTTTAGAGTTCTTTAAACTCCAGTTTAAGAAAAAAATTAAAACAGCTCAAATTCATAGATTTGGATTGTATGTAATGGAACTGATGTTGGCATCAAGCTGTCTATGCACTAGCTTTTAACAAGAGCAGTTAGAAAAACTGGGAACCTAAAAAAAATAAATTTTGGGGTTTTCCATTTAGTACAAAATCCTTTTTATTATTTTACACAAATAATATAGGTCAATTGTTGAATGTCTCAGTAATTGTATTCTGGATGAAAAATCTGGGTAATAAACCTGGATGACAAACTCAAATTGTTTAAAAATTCATAGAAGAAAAGTCACCCAAGAGCTATGAAACAAAGGTACAGTCTCTGATTTGGAAAGTCTTTAAGCCACAGACTTCAGAAGAGAAGTTCTAGGAAAGATATCACAGTGATTATAATTTGATACATAATTTGCTATTAGCTTAGCAAATGCTTAGCTAAATTAAGCATTTGCTTCTGGGTCCTTTCTTTGGTGTAAACAAACACCATTGTTTTGATCTTCTGCCTGATAATCAATCACAAAGAACTAATCAATCATCTCATTCAGCCTCTCATGTAACACTTTAGCATTTCACTGACTTATCTTCAGATACATCTTTGCCTACAATGCTTTCATCGCCAATGCCAGCCAACCTTGTGCAGATCTCAGGGAGAAGAGTCCAAAACTTCTCCATAGTCTGTCCAAGTAGAGAATCTCACTGGCTGATAAACATTTGTGGAATTACACCTTGCAGTCTCATGCCTTCGGTAAACCTGCTTATCTTTTGTGAGAGCAAAAAGGGTGTTTACAGCTTACATTTACTTCTGAAGGAAGTGTGTTTTGCTGTCCTGTTACTGTCAATTTTAAATGCTGCTTTTTCTGATGGTGATGTTAAAATGAGTTTCTAGGAAGGGGCTGTGGCACAGGTTATAACATAAACCAAACACTACGCTCAGCCCTTCTGCTGGTGGTAGCAGCAAAGACTGCAGGACCTGAAGAAACTGTGAAGGGGCTAGTTTTGGTAATCCTGCTGATTACCTAGAATGAATTTAGGAGTGAGATTTAGCCATTTTTTACAACTCTCTCATAACTCTGCATGATTTCTCCAGTCCAAAGAGGGACAGAACAGTATTCAGATGTTAGGTTTATGGTTGGACTCGACCTTAAAGGTCTTTTCCAACCTAAATGATTCTATGATTCTAAGGCATGCTTATACTGCTGAATGTTGATGGCAAAGTCTAACGTAGCTTGGATTTTAACAGAGCATCAGTCTACAAAAATAGTACGTTAATGGAGGAAGACAGCACTAGTGAAGAAAGTTAAGTACAGATGGGTTTAGATTTAAATCCTCACATGAAGGGTTTTTTTCCCCTGCTACTCAGTCACTGCAGAGGGAGAGAGAGCAAGAGGGAAGAGATCATAAGGACAGAAACATAAGCAGCAGCAACACTCAGCTGATTACCTGGAAGCCGATGACTTGTAGCTCATTGTGAAGATCATCTAGAACTCTCCTACCATCAAAGATAAATGCAGGCTTCAGCATCTTCTTATGAATACATTCATAATCCAACTCCTGTAAAGGGCAATTAAAGCAGATAGAGAGAGTGTTATGCTACTTATTTATTCTTTTTTTCTTTAGTTTAAATTATAGATAACATTTACCTTAAACATGTCCCATTCAGTGCAGATTACGAGGGCATGAGCTCCATCACAGGCTTCATAGGGATCATTACTGATAGTGACCAACCGAGACACTGTAACAGAAGGAATATAAAGTTTTATTCCACACACATCTTTAGCATCAACCTGGTGCATTCCTGGCAAATAAGTCTCCTTCCTTGACCTGCGTGAACAAGGAATTTCAAGTCATTCACCCAGTGATGTTTTCTATCAAGACATTTGTCACTTTGATTTCACTTATTTAAGTGAAAGCAGCTTGTACCTGGCAACTGAATAGAGTCAGAGCACTTAAATGTTTGAAGTTAAGCACTCAAATTTGATTTAAACAGTCAAGAGCATCTCTAGAACTAGAAGTTACTACAGAGCATTCAAATGCCAACTCTCACAAAGGTCACAAAGGCCTGTACAATAGCAGCACACCACAGTTCCTATTTAACACCCAGTTCACACTAGAAAAGATAGACATGGCTTCATCCCCTGACTGCCTCAGCAGCTACCTAGAGGCAACCCTCCACCCAGCTCTAATTCAAGGGTATGTCAAATAATGTACACCCTTCATTTCACTGCTAATTTTCCTCCATTCTCTTCAACTCTAGAAGCCAGATCCATCCTTCTTCCTCATCCATCCATCATCTCCATTCTCCCCCTCCCTAATAAGGAAAGAAGACAAAAATCCCAAATATCCCCTCACTCTCCCTAAGAAATTTCTAGTCATATATGATTACTTTAAAGTCTTCTTGACTTTAAGGGAACAGATTAATTTGGAAGTGATATGGGGGAAGGGAGAATGCTCTACAGTGAATTCCAGAAGGATTTCCTCATTTGTACATTAGATATGCAAGTAAGAACTAAGGCAAGATAAGACACAGGACACAAAGGAGCTGACAGAACAACACTAGTCTCTTCTACTTCTGGGCATTCTTCTTTCCCTTCCTTTTAATTATGTAGAGAAAATTCTCTGCATGTATTCAAATGAATATTTATCATAAGAAAAATATACAACAGTACAGAATTAGCATTTATCTGTAAAAGCTACGGTGAAAGGGGGAAAAGTTACAGTAATCTTCTGAGCTTTGACAATCTAATGAGTGTAACCAACAGCCACATCACTGACATGGTGAAAATGTGAAAATTAATTTATTGTATTTAAACAGATCTTGTGTATTTTGACAATAGGGTGGGGAGGGAAGGGGAGAAATAAACTTTACTTGAGCATTCTTACCTTGGTTGTCTTCTGAGACTCCTGGATGTGAGAGATCCAAGATTATTTGTTCCTTAGGTACTTTAGGATCATAGATATGGAGTTTTGCTCCTTCATCCATTAAATACTTGCTAATGTAGATACTGGATGACTCCCTAGGGAAGTGAATCAATCAGTTAAAAGAACCAGGTGGCATGTTCTAAGTAATGAAAGTCTTCAAGTGTCATGGTATGCAATGACAGAGCTTTTATACCAGTTTTACATTAACCATCTTAGTGGTAATCCATGCCAGCAAACTTTAAATCTTGAGGGACACCAGGCAGAGTAATATGAAAAACAAGTTTACATCTTGCTGAATCATGAAGGAGATACTAAGTCCCAGGACTCCTATTGACCATAATCAACATGGCATCAAGCTTATAAGCATTCCCCACAAACTGCAGTTGGAGAGTTGTATCGAGTCTGAACTTTACAGGAAAACAAAATTAACCACCTTTTGGAAACAAAGCTAAAACTTTGGTTTCACATACCATTTAGAACGAATAGCAAAAATGTTTGCATTCTTTTCTGTGGAGAATGGAAGGACTATCGAAATCTATCTTTGCTCACGCAAGTTAATAAGGACTAGAGTTGTCTGCTCTAGCTTCTGAATGTTTCAGGTATGTTGCAGAGGTCAAGAATCAATTGCCTCACCTATTTAAGACAGATTAATCCTTGTTACAAACAAATGCAGTCATAAGGGGTTAAGGGTCCCACATCTGATCTATTTTTATTAATGCAATTCAACTGAGGGTGTTTAGGTGTACAGCTGGTGACAAGTGGAGGGAATCCACATTAGCGAACTGAATTCACTTTCTTACCTTGTGTCCCCAGTATCCTTTTTGAATGCAAACCCTAAAATAGCAATCTTCTTATCAGTGACAGTATTGAACAAGCTGTCAATAATGCGGGAAGCAAATCTTCTTCTCTGATAGTCATTCATGTCTATTACCTGAAAGTATATCAAACATGATGGTCCAGAAGGGAGCCATTTTAATCTATGAACAGATTCTGTTAACAGTTGAGCCAAGCTACCCACACATAAGTTTAATAGAGGCTTAAAAGAGAAAGCCAAGTGTTTTTACTCAGTATCATAAGTAACTCAAGGATAAATTTAGTTAGCTTATCAAATTCTGAGTCAAATCCCATTTTAATCAGTGATTGTAGATGAATATACACACATACTATCATGCATTATCTAGTTCAAAGGCTAGGGTTTTTTTCAGATTGCCCCCTTTTTTTTTTTTTTTTAAGCCATTTCAGTGTTAAGAGTACTTGGTGTCACATGGACATCCCATTGCCAGACCTACACTTCCTTACATGCCATGTATAACAACTGTGAAAACATTTTTAGCCTTTTTAATCCACACTAACAGACTTCAATAAACAAAACTACTGTGGTTAAACCAGATTTTTAAGTGCCTCACTTTTGTTATTGCATGAAATGGGTTCACTCACTCGTAATTGTTCCTGTACTTTCCCCCAGCCTGCTTCACACTTTGATCTCCAGCCCTTAACACACAGAGGGCACTAGATCTCTAGTAGAATAGGAAGGTAGGTTCTCCCACCTAGTCAGTGTTCAGTGTGGACTGAAAAGAGCTACACCTCCCTCTTGATTTTGAGACTTTCAACTCAAATCAATAATTAACAGCAGCAGCCTATGAAAGATAGGGTATAAGCTATATAGTAGTTTAGTGTGAAACAGATTTCTTTTAGTAAAAGAAATAAAAGCAGTGAGATTCATGCAATTCAACATATGGTGGTGATAGGAAACAAAGGTAACAGCTGACAGGGTAAGAAGGACACATTTCTTTCTGTAGGTATGTTTTCAAGGAATGAAGATTTCAGTAGGAGAGCCACATCCTGCCTAAGGGCCAGAGAGAATACAAGTTAGGATTCTGATGCTGCTCTGATCGTCATATCCTCCAGAATTTGCATCCTGTCCTCAGACCAGTCTGAGGTCTTCCATGTGCATGCACTGGGATGAGCTGCTGACAGAGCAGTGCTCAGGCCACGAAGAAGGGGCTCACACAGTGGCTTATATGGGTGCACATACGTGTGCATTACACAACTTGACCAGTGTGGACTGAGGCAGATAGATCTCTGCAAAACAACAGTGCTCGGAGGAAGCAGAAGTTGCAGGTAAGGGGTTGTACTACATGAGCATAGCACTTTACCTTAGCCTAACTCTGCAGCAGCTGTTCTTACTATCTGATTTGTCCACAGCTTAAATAAGCCATATAGAAACACTGCAAAGAATTGCTCTTAAAACATAGTAAGAGAGCATAAAAGCCTTAAAAGCACATTAAACTAGTTTGTTTACATTAACAATGCAACCTTTTGGGCTTTTGTTAAATAAAAAACCCACCTCCACACAGAGCAAACCGTAAGTGTTCCTATGCCTTTGGGTTGCCAAGATACCAAGTAGGTTGCATTTTGAGAAGGACCGTTGTGATCTCAAAGGACAGAGCCAAACCAATTTGTCTCTTTCAAGACAGTATTAATTCTTCCCTACGCACTGGATTATCAGTGAGGTAACATGGTTAATTCCTGCAGCTCCTGCTGCCGCAGGGATTGTCTGTTGTCTGCTTACATCTTATACTGAGTAAAAGCAGTAGTTCTTGAAGCAATATCAGAACCTAAGGCACCTGTTCTTTCCTACTGTGCCAATGCATCCAAGTCCTACACTGAACCAAACCTCTCCTGGATGTTTACACAAGGTTCATACAGTATGCTAGTCTTTCTTCACTGACGGGACTGCAATACCTCTCCACCATGGACTAGACCATCCTAATTAAGTACATTTTTAAGGAATATGTCAGCCTGAACATCTTCAGAGGCAGACAGCATAAACCCTATGCCTTCCCTGTCCCAAGCAATTAATGTAAGAGTTATAGTTGCAAGCAAGTAACTAGGCTGCTGACTAGTCCCTGTCTGGAGGTTAAACTATCTGAACAGGATATAAAAATCACTGGACATCACAGATAATGTAAGAAGCTGACAGAAGTCACAGATAGCACTGTGAGAGATGGCTGAGTTTTACAAGCGGTTACGGGGGAATTATGAGTGAGATCCAGCCAAGCTTCAGATAGTTGGAAGGGAGGAGTAGGGACCTTTTGGGGAATAGAACCTTGTGAAGCCAACAGAGCCTAAGTAACCCCATCAGCAGTACCATGTGGCCTAGGTAATGGCATAAGGAATACCAGACTTCAGTATTGACATAGAACAACTGACCAATGATGAAAAAGTAATTACAGGCAGGTTGTTTATTTGGCATGGAAAAGAGTGAGGGGGAAAAAAGGCTAGACAAGAGGAAGATTAAAAAAAAAAAAAAAAAAAGGAAAACTACTAATAAGGTAGGCAAATCATGTGCTTGGTATTCTAGGGGCATCTGCTAGGCAGCCTTGTACTTGATCACCACAGCATAAATCAGGAAAATAAACCAAAGCTGTTCTTTTGACCACACCATATATTACAAAGGTGCTTCCTCAGTCAGGACTGGGAAGATGGGTGAGGTGCTTTCACTGGTTAATAGGGAAACACTTGCTAGTACAGACTGAGCATCCTGGTATTGCTGCATTGGTGCTAGGCCTGAGAGATCCACATCTTCCTAACCATTCCCAACATTAACCAGGGAACAGCAGCACCATGTTTATTTAAAAGAATAGCAGGTTCTGCTGAGTTCTTTCAGAAAAGGAACTGTAAAAGTAGACCCTGGGGAAAAGACCATAAGCTCCGAATTCAAAGTGAACAGACATAACCAAGTGCAAGAAGAAGACAGGAGTCCAGATATGCTTGTACTTCACATTTTCTACTGTTACTTCTAGACAACTTCCCAATCCATTTGATCCAGACAGCTTAAATCACCCCAAAAAATCCTAGGCACACACAGGTGTTAAATTCCAATGTTAGGCTGAGGGCCCTAAAATGTAAAGATCAACATTAAGGTATCCGCTCCTTAAAGCTGAAACACAGGTTATATGTGGACAATGCTCAAAAACTCTGTGCCTGAAAAGTGAATGCTGAAGAAACACCACCCCCTCAAAAAAATTAGTGAAGAACTTGTACCTGTTGCCAGTAGCGGGCTACTTCAGGTAAGTTCAGTGCCTCACAGAGATACACTAAGTTCAAGACATCCTTCTGAAAACAGCTACCTCCAAATCCTAAAAGAGAAAATGGTTATTTTACAGGTCACTAACATACTATTCTAACCCAATCACTGGAATAAAGTAGTTTTTGACAATAATTGACATAGTCAACATTGTAATTTTTCCCAGTATTTCACTGCTAGCAAATGAAAATCTGAAGAATCTCTCAAAATTCAACTCCTGGACCTCCCTACTTTGTTAAAATCTGCTTCAGGTGCCACTGAAGCCAATGGAAGTTTTAACCCAGCCTCAGGGAAACACACAATAAGATAGCCTCTATGGTTTTCACTATTACAAATGAGTGGACAAGCTCCTGAGTTTGCTCTCCCCCTCCTAGAGACTGAGATTAATATTTCTCAGAACAAGTATGACAAGATTAGGTTCTTTCCTCCCTCACCCACAAATGGATATTTAATAATTGCCAAGAACCAAAGATCACCACAGCTGACTAAGGGAGAACTGAGACAATTAGAGGGATCCTTGACCCCTAGAACTTTGCTCAGCAGAGTCCCAGAAGAAACACATTGTAGAAGGAATTATAATAACCTAATAGGAATTTCAGTAATGTATTTGTTATCTACTTTTCACTCTTGCATAGACTCTAGGACAGGTTATATTTAATAAGGTTATTTTAAACTCACACTTTCTCTTTCTAGCATGAAAACTGTAACCATACAGACAGGTTTTAGTCTTGTTCCATAAATTTGAAAGGTTGGTGTACTGATCACCACTTTATCACACCTTACTCTCCAGTAAATCTAAACCACTGAATTCATCCTACAAATCAGAAGTTGCCATCACACATTCTGACCTAGAGGCATCCCCTTCCTCAGGCCACTGGCAGCAACTCCCAAACAAAATCGCAGCAGTTACAACTGGGAAGACATCTTGGAGAGCACTATCATCAGTGATGCTTCAGAAAAAATGCAGCTTTTCTTTCCAGTGTCCCAAGCATGATAAACCATACATTCTGAACTCTCAGGTTTCAGATTGCCAGGGTCCAAGAGCAACCTCAGTCCTAGACGTTTTACCAGAAAAACTGATTTATGATAGTACTCTACAGCAATATTTTCACACGCACATGCTGTAGAAGATTTTAGAGTATCAGATCACTTCAAAACACTACTAGTAGATCTATTGCCCTATTAAACAGAAGCCCAGAAGAAAAAAAAAGGAGGAAATTTTCATTTACCAACACTGGCTTTGAGAAACTTATTTCCAATTCTTTGGTCTGTTCCAATAGCTCTTGCTACTTCTTCAACATCTGCTCCTGTAGCTTCACACAGAGCACTGATTGAGTTAATGCTGCTGATTCTTTGGGCAAGGAAAGCATTAGCTGCCTGTAAAAACAAACATGGTAAAAAGAACTTGATTTTTCCCCGGATGGGAGTTACTACTGGAAGGATTACTTTAGTATCTATGTAACTCTGTCGAGATACAAAATGGTAACATAACTAGTTCAACACATAAATGCCAGTTTATTGGATCTAAGCAAAACAATGTAATGCTTAATTTGCAGAGTTTGAACCATTTTATGATGGCAACCAGTTTCTGCAGCACTGGAGGTTACTCTTAGTCATAAATAACACAGAAATAGAAAAGAGAAAAGGATTTCATAGAAAGTTGATACCATCTATTAGCTCAGCTGAGATAAATGGAAAAAATTAATATCCTTTGACACACACACTGGGCCCTCCCAACCTCATCTGTCTTTCCTAGCTGCATCACTCTGTCAGTGAACTGCTTCTGAGCTTTGCCTCACTTACACCCTTTGCTCACTGCAGACAACAGCACTGAGTAACACTAACCAGTTTAGAAAGTTCTGATGACCAGGTATTGGTCGTGAGGATTTTTTCCTTGGGCACCCAGTGCTCGTAAACAGCACAAAGAGCACGGACAGCTTTCTGCCCCTCTGGAGAATCATCTCCGCCGATAAGCACTCTGTCTGGGTTCTTCAGGTCCTTGATGGCTGTTCCTTCTGCAAGGAACTCTGGGTTAGACAGCACCTACAGGCACAGAAATAAAGAACAACAGATAAAAGCCAAAAGCAACAGCCAGCCTTTAAATATACAACTCAAGGACTATGCTTACCTGCAAATCCAAGTTAGGCTTAGTATTAGCATCAAATATGCGACGAATGCTCTCTGCAGCACGTACTGGAACTGTGCTTTTCTCGGTGACAATTTTATAGCCATTTGAATTTTGTACAATTCGTCTAGCGCAAGCTTCAATGTATTTCAGATCAGCTGCTCGGCCTTTTCCCATCCCATAGGTCTTTGTTGGAGTGTTAACCTAGTTACAAATACATGGAGCAGGTAGAAATGTTACATGTCTCTTACACAGGAAGTACTGACAAGGTGAAATAGTTAAGAATGACAGACCTTTTCCTTCCCAGAGTCCAGCTTGCTTCTACCCCAGAATTAGTCTAGTTACCGTATCAGATGCACAACTGTTAGCTTTCTCAATTACCCATTTTGTCTTCTAAAGAGAGCTCACTGGCCTCTAGTCAAATAGAATTTCAACAAGAGTAATTCATAGCAGCTCTACAGGCTTTGGTGAAACACAGTCCTTATTCTGGAAACACCAGTAATTTCTTCATGATTACAGCCAGCCATCTTTTGTTTTCTGTTCCACATTAGGAGTGAGAAAATTCACATAAGAATCTTGCAACTAGTGATGCAGTTATAGTTTAAGCCCACTTTGCAGTGAAACCTAAGCGTAGGGCTGCTGAAAAGTGCTATACTGAAGTACACAGAAAAGGCAACATGAGGGAAAATACGTCATTTAGATTAAGACAGAGAGTCCTTTTCATCACAAACTGAAAGGAGAAAAGGCAACAACATGTAAAACACAACAGCATGTTTTAAGCCAAAGACAGGTGGCAATATATGGGCTGTATTAGTGGCAGTCATCCAGCCAAGTAGCATTCATTTTAGACTTAATGAATGGAGAAAAATACTATCAGAAAGAGAGCTCTGTACTGAGGTGCCCTAACAAAGAGCAGCTCTCAAGAAAAGAGGGACTTAAGTAACAAAAAAGCCTCAATTGTCATGAATAGCAACCAGTTCTTTTGGATTCTGCATTAGGAACAATGTTCTAGATTACAAAAGGTCACTGTTTATGTATAGTAAAGCTAGAAAACATTAAAGCCAGTCCCTCTTCCATTAATACACTGGTTTTTAAGTGCTTCTAGAAATAAGTCATCTTTGTAACCCAATAATCAGTATGACTTCACATCCCTACCTAGGAACCATATCAATATTAAAGTCCCATAGATTTCAGTAGTATACTGCAATGACAGATCTGCACTATATTCTGCTCTAAGACTCCATACATCCAACCAAGCTAAATGTCTCCATTATCATTTTCACTTAGAGCCTGTTCATTTGTCAAATGTTCTACTGGCTATAAGAAACAGTTAAAAATAAATAAATAAAAAAATTACTTAACACTTTTCCCACGGTACACAAATTCAAGGAGAAAATTGTGACAGTGACATAACATTGCTAACAATCTATTTGACAAAACAAAAGTCTCTTCCTAATATTACAGCAACATAATGATTTGACAAGGAAAAAAAAAAAAAAGACAAACACACACAACTACCTTTTCCCCCTAAACTTACAGAAATAAACACAAGATCAGCTTCTCTAATGGCATCATCAATACTGGTGGAAAAGAAGAGGTTTCTTCCTCGACATGATTCTACCACTTCTTTTAACCCTGGCTGAAAAAAGTAGAAAAAAATAAAGCAGTTAAGGTTAATATAGCTAGAAGAACAGTAAACTGCATATCATTTCAGATACAGAATGACTTTTTTTTTTTCTTCAGTGTGGCATGTTTTCAGTCTGCCAGATGTAAAGCTTATGTTGATTTACACAGTGAAAAAAATAAGACCCTTTCTTATTCAAAACATTCAAAATAGTGTCACAAAACTTCCAGCCACACTGAACTGTTCTTTGCACAACCAGATCTTGGACTCCAGTTATTCCCATGCTCAATTCTATTATCATGAGCAACAATTAAAGAAATATCTGTAGTGTGATGTTAAATAGATTCAAGAAGTACAGTCTTATAATATTCCCTAGATTGCAAACAGAAGAGGTGGTCCCAACTCTCCTTTTCCCTCAGAGATTCCCTGATCTCCTCAGCATTAGACGTACAACTGATTCAGCACAAAACAAAAAAACACAAAGAAGTCTTCCATCAAATTAGCAAGCCCAGATCCAGTGAAAGAAAGGCAGTGGAGAGACACAGGATAAGGACCACTCCTTTTGGCAACCATCCATCTTTGGACCAGACTAAACTTATCATGGCACCACATCTGCACTGTGGAAGAATCACAGGCACAATTTGGTGAGATTCTTTCCACAGAAATGTACTGTGCCATAACACCTTCCCTTAACACCTCCACTCAGACAAAAGGAGCAGGAGGTCATGTGTACGTGAGCAATCCTCTGTATTAGAACAGTCTACAAAACAATTTAACTAAGACATAGTTTTCATAGATAAAAGAAGCCTTAACTTTCTGTTTGAAAAAATGAAGTCATACACTGTAACCTGGCAATCAAATCTCCAACTTGAGAGATGCTTATCATGACACAAGATACCTGTGTAAGTGCCAGAAAGGCAAAGGTTCACTGGAGGGAGAGAGAGAGGAAACTAATCAGAAGCTTTCTTATTGTCCTGGTTTTGGCTGGGATACAGTTAATTTTATTCCTAGTAGCTGGTACGGTGCTGTGTTTTGGAGTTAGTGTGAAAATAATGTTGATAGCAACAACTAAAACACCAATGTGTTAAGTAGCGCTTATCCCAAGTTAAGGATTTTCCAGTTTCCCATGCTCTGCCAGTGAGCAGGTGCACAAGAAGATGAGAGGGAGCATGGCCAGGACAGCTGAGCCAAACTAACCAAAGGGATATCCCACACCATAGAGCGTCATGCTCAGCATATAAACTGGGGAGTTGGCTGGGGGGCAGAACACTGCTCAAGCATTGGTCAGCAGGTGATAAGCAACTGCACTGTGCATCATTTGTCTTTTCTTAGTTTTTTTTTTTTTTTAATTATATTCCTTTTCATTAAAGTTATTATACTTTATTTTAGTTAAACTGTTTTTAACTCAACCCTCAAATTTTACTTTTTTTTTTTTCCAATTCTCCTCCCCATTCATCCGACTGGGGTGGAGGGTGAGGACACACACTTACGCAAGACATTTTTGCTGTCTCACTTTATACCAAATACCGATTTAAAAGGAAAACAGAGGTCAGCACAGGCAGAATGTGTTATAACCCATCAAATGTTTCAACTATGGTCTTACTGGGATGTAAATAGAAAGTCAGCCCACTAGACAATTTCTGACATCAGAATCAAAAAACCCAAAACAAAAAAAATACAAAAACCTCACTGTGCAATGACTCAATTTTACAACAGGCTGAACTAATTCTTGGCAGTTTTTGTACATTCTTCGTATGCAAAGGACACCATTCCAGGAAACAGATGTTGGGAGTTTGGGTTTGTTTTAGTTTTTTTAAACATGCCAAGACTAGCTCCACTTTAACTCATTCAGTCTAAGTGTTTATAGAAAACAAAATACTTGTTTTCATGATCTTTATTCATGTCTCACCTGCTAATCTGAGAATTATACATATTTTTCTTGAAATATGTATGACAAAGGAGGTCTGCTCATCTTCACTTACTGTGTCACAGTATGGGTTTGGTTTTAAGAGGAAATGAAACTGCATTAGTGTTACAGCACAGGCAGGATTCAAAAGATTTCTTATAGCAAAAGAGTAACTGTTTGTACCAGGAAACATCTTGTCTTTGAGACCCAAGTGAAAGTAAGTTTTCACTCTCCTTAAAGAACTCAAACCTGTAAAAACTCTCTCTCACGAGAGAATGAAGGAAAGGAAAAAGAGATCTATTCTTTAAGGGTGAAAAAGAATGAAAAATATCAAGCACTAAGAGAAGCAAAATAGAAAAATGCTCTATATATCTTCAAATTAAAGTAATTCTGTAGTGAAGGAATGACAGTGTGATACATTTAAAAGTCATTTTTATCTGGCCTAGTCTTCCCAGGCCAGATTGGAGGTTTACAGTACAATTGTATCAGGAACATGACTGTACCCATCTTACAACATGGTTAAGGTGGGCACCACAGATTGGATATTGGCAGCATTCAGAATGGTAATAAAGCTTACCACTCAGTACTACTTATTCATATTGTGCTAGAAGGCATCAGATCATATCTTTAACTGAGTAAGAGGACTATGTTATGATTAAATCAGGTCCCAAAAGAAAGTCAGCACGATTTAGCACAATTGACTATATACACACAATTATGTTTTTTCTTACTGGGCCCTTCATACATAATCCTTAACTACCTGCCTGCACCAGACGTATTAAATTATTTTAAAAATCTAGTTTAATGAGCACTAGTGATAGCTGTTCCAGAATACCCTTTTTGAAGGGCATCACTGTACTAATCAAGCTTCAGAAGTGGGCCATGGGGAAATGCCATGTGGTGGGAGAGAAGCAAATGCAACACTAGCTGGAAGAAGAGACAATGGCAAGACAAGTTTACCTCATAGATCGGGAGTGTGTCTGAATTCCAGGCATTGATTCTGGCTTCATTGACATCCACAACAGTAACTTTGATATTGGGACACATCTGTGCAATAACACTACAGGTTGGCCCACCGACATAACCAGCACCAATGCAGCAAATCTTCTTAATTTCAAACATGATTGCTCTAGGGTAAGGAAAGGGGAGGGAAGGAGAATCAGGAGTTATCAATGAAAATACTGGCCAACAATTCAAGAAAACGAGAATATTAATGATTTGAGATTTTATGATCCTGCCGCCGAGAAAAACATTTCCTTACAGCAGTTGCTCTCTCCCGCCTGGGAAGCTGCCCGGCTGCAGGAGAGCCGGCGCCCACAGACCGCCGAGAAAGCGCTTTCGGGGGCCGCTGTGAAGCCGGCGAGCGTCAGCCCCGGACCCCCGGGCCGGGGGGCCGCAGGTGCCGCCACAGCCCCCGCTAGCAGCGGGGATCGCCGCCGCTGGCATCGCGCAACCGGAGGGACCGGCGCGGCCCCGGGCCGGGCAGAGCCGAGCCAGGCCAGGACCCCCGGGCCGGGCCCGGAGCTTCCTCGGCCGGGAAACGCGCCGTCAGCGCGGAGGCCGCAGCTCCCCCCTCCTCCCCGGCGGAGGGAGCGGGCCGGGAGCCGACCCCGCTCCCCGCCATCCCCAGGAGCCCCGGCGGGAAGGGCCGCAACCCGGCCCCGCGCCTCGGGGGGCGGCAGCCGGCGGGAAAGGCCGCCACGGCCCCGGGGAGCCCCCAGGGAAGGCAGCGGGGGGGGGGGGGGGGGGCGTGTGTGGGGGGACTCGCGGCCAGCACTGAAGCCGCAGCCCGGACACTTACCGCGGGCGGGCGCGGTGCTGCCGGAGCGCTGCGGTAAGGATGCTCGGCGGGCTCAGGGCGACGCTCCGCGACGAGGGGAGCGGCGGCGGCGGCGGCTATTTAAAGGGCCGCCGCGGGGCCAAGGCGGCTGTTTCATCCCGGGGACGCCGAGCGAGGCCGGCCCCGCCTTTCTCCCTTCTTTCCCCCGGGGCGGGGGAAGCTGCGGCCGCCCCGCCGCCTCCCCGCCCCGCCGCGCCGCCGGCGAATGGGCGCGGGACACCTCAGGCGGCGCCGGCGGCCGCGCAGGCCCGGCCCGGCCCCGCCGCCGAGCGGGGGCCGAGGGGCCGCAGGGACCGGCTGGGGCTGGGGCGGCCGCGCCTCGGGCCTGGGCCTGGGCCTGGGCCGCCGCCTCCCTCGGGCGGGGCCGTGGCCCACAGGGCCCCTTCCCTCCCCATGCGTCGGTTTTGGGGTTAATACACCTCGTTCCTGCTCCCCCCCCCCGCTTTTTCTCTTTTTTTTTTTTTTTTTTTTTTTTTTTTTCCCGTCATGGCTGGTGGCTGCTCTCGCTGCTTCTTTCAGGGAGAGGGGTCTAAGCTGCGGCCTGGGCCCCCCGCGCTGCCCGGCCCCCAGAGACGGCGGTGAGGGGAGCGGGAGCTCGGGGGCTTCAGCGGGGTCCCTCGCTGAGCTGCTCCCCTCACCTGCCCCTGGGGAGTTTTTGTAAGGGAAATTAATTTGGGTGGTCAAATACGCTTGTGAGTAATTTTTGGTCCTTCAGCTATGCTGATTGTCAAACACAAAGCTCAGTGTTCCTCCTCTCTCCTCTAGTGTAGCGCTGTCTCAACAAAAATAATAGAAACGTAGGGAGGTAACAGTAGAATACAGTGTTTAAAGTCCAGATTGCAAACATTGGCAGAGTAAGTAAATACAAGCTTGCACTGTCTTGCCCTTGTGATCAGGGCACTGCCCAGGGATCTCTTGCCTAGTTGTATGGAAGCTCTCAGATAATATTCTTGCTTTTTGTGTAGAAGTGATACGTTATTAGTATACTTCATCTGGCTTTGGGAGCAGAAAGACCATAAGAAATCTGCCATCTTTTCTAATCCAGTGCATTCAAGTTCACTTACACTGCATCTTTGAGAAGCTGGTGTTTTGTTTTGTTGTTTTTTTGTTGTTTGTTTTTTGTTTTTGTTTTTTTTTTTTTCTGCGTTTGCAATTCTGCAGCCATTTATGCTTTCAACAGATTACAATTTCTATGTTTAATGTTGCCAAATTAGGAGGATAATATATGTATGTCCTTGTTAACAATGTGAACAAAGTAATGCCTTGTTCTTATATGGCATTTTCATCCATAGATGTTAAAGTATATAAAAAAGGAATTGGAATAATTGTTTCTGTTTTATATTTTACTCTGTTACTATTTTACTCGGGAGGATCTGATCTTTCCTTAGAAGAATCTGTGCCTATTTAAGAGAGTACATGCTGTAACTCACTGGTCTTTTAGAAATGGTACTATAAAATGTGTGTTTCTACTGAAAGAGCCCACTGAGGTTTTCAGTCTCAGTGCAGGATCCTAGCGGAGTCAGTGTGGTTAGCTAAAGAACTGCCTGGCAAAGGTGCCGGGTTCGCCATGTTTATGCTGAAGTAAAAACAAGTAATGCCTTGTCCCCTTGCTAATTTGCACATATGTCTCAATTTTGAACACATCCTTTTTTTTTTTTTTCCAGGGAAGCCCAGGCATAGCAAATAGAAGCTGAGTCAGCTCTCACTACTGAGACAGTCTTACCTATACCATCATCTTCAAAACCCCTGTCTATCTCCTGAGGTCTCAGAATAGTCATAAATGTATACATCTAGACTACTAAGCATCTGGTCCCTCTGTATGTGCCTGTTGCTATCTCAGCAAGGCCAAATCCACTTCAGATCCTTCACATGGTCCCCCAAGGGTGTTGGGATGGTAAGTATGCTCAGTGTCTGCCTGACAAACGAGGAGTGGATTTTCTAAAGACAGCAGTAGTTGCTGTGTGCAAGGCTGCATTTGTGAGAAGGGGTTCCCTTTGTTTATTGCTGTAGGTGTGGGTAGTTCATTAGAGTCAGCTAATACCTCCTTGTTACTGCATTTGCTAAGAATGAGGGCAAGAGCTTCAGAGCTTTCCTTGGCTCTGAAAGGCAGGGTTCAGGCATATGTATCTCAGGAGGGTGCTGCGTCTGGTGGGATAAAAAGAAACATGGAGATCCAATCTTCAACCTGCAACTACACTAGTTTGCCAAGGAGCTTGAAAGGGGTCTGATAACCATGGCTGTTTCCTAGGTTGAGAAATGTCTGGACTATAGTCTATGATTTGAGAGTTGCTTCAAATATCTCAGCAGTCCTCGAAGCAGGCAATGGACCTCAGTCTCTTTACTCTTAGCAAAGTGCCTTCATTGATAGACTACACTGTCACACCCCCTGCCTGGGATGTGGATCTTGAATTGTCTCTTGTAGAATGGCACAATTTTCCCAGGAAGGATGTCGAGGGCTGCTTTTGTTTCCTTGTAGTCTACACTCTGGTGGTGAGGGCACTGCTGGGAGGGGAAAAATGCAAATTAAAGGCTTAAAGTCACTGCAGTGAAAAGGGCAGGGAGCTGGGGTCTCCACTCTCATTACATAATAAATTCTGAGTTACTGGGTGGAGTTTTCTTTGGTTTTCTGTTCAGGCAGACCCATCATTTACCAGCACATAGAATTGTGCAGAGGCAATAAATCTTACATAAGGCTTCAGGGCATACCATTAAACATCCTGAAGCATGCTGCTTGGCAAACACAGCCCTGGGCTGCTACAAAGATGAGGCTGGTTCACTGCTGGCCACTTTTTAAATAAAAGTGTGAGTTCTGCTCCATTTTTTTTGAAGGCCCAGTGTAGGCTGTGAATCCTTTTGCAGTGCAGGGTCAGTAACTTAAATAACATGAAGAATGGGATGTCAGGTATATGTTTTTCTTTAACATTGCCAGTAGATTAGATGGATCCCTCTTTCAGCATATCAGCTAGCCTGGACCTCACACAGAGACAGCCTTTCCTTCCCTCTGTGTGGGGAGTTTGGGTATCTAACTCGGGGCTATAAATTAGTTTCTGGGAGGCAATGCCTAAAAATCAGGTGCATAAAATTAAGTTTTGCAATGCTCATTTCTTAAGTGAACAGAAAATTGATAATCCTTCCTTTACATTAACAAACAATAATGTATAAAAATTGAAGCTTGACAAATTCAGATTTAAGACAGTTGTTTTCTAATCATAAAGATAAATAATCACTGAAATGAATCAGAGATGGTCCATCTCTAAAAAGTTTTTCTAAAAGGTATGTTCTAGTGCAAAAGATAATTAATGCGAATCCTATGGATGTCAGAAGAGATGTTAATAGTAGTCCAGTTTGGCTTTATAATTTATAAGCTCTATCTGTATGTAAGATTTTAACTAAAATACCCCCCCCAGTTGGTTGCTGAAAGGTATCTTAGCAGGGCATCCATTCAGCTACACAGCAGCAGCAATGAAGGATTTCCATGCTCCCACCTAATTTTCATGTGTTGCAGACTGGGTGAGAACTCTCCCCATAGGCTTCATCTCAGTGTTCAATTTTTTTTCAGATTAATTCCTATGTGTGTTATTTTGGAGTGAAAATTGAGAGAGCTGCTGGTAGGACTGATGACTCACTGTTCCATTCATACAGGATTTTACATTTTAAAGATTGTCATTTACATAATAATTTAACTGTAAGTAATCTATACTTCTGAGAGCACTGCTCACTTATGCATCCTGGTAGGAGATTGTCTTTTAAGCCCCTGATGTTAAACAGCCTGAACTGTAATTCATGGAAGCATCCATGTCCAAGAGGGGTGATTATCATAATTTATACACACCTGCTTGAGGAGAATAGGCATTTTTAGAGATATTTGTAAGTTTTAGGCTACAGATACAGGTAGGACAGAGTTCATAATCTAGTCAATAACCAAGTAACTTAGGGGACGGACTACAAAAGGTATACAAAAACAAAAGATACTCAAGTTTTGGCAATACCTTTCCTTAGGTACCTAAAGGTACCTCTTCTGCCTCAGTTTAATCTGACCTGAGCAGTTCAGTTGCCTGCCTCATATCTAAACTTGATCTGATCCTGAAAATGAGAAATCCCTTTGCTACATGCTCTCACAGACCTGACCTTTAATGCGTGCTCAGGCAAGGGCTAACACCAGCAGGATCAAGTGGCATGCAGTCCAAAGATTTAAGACTGCTTTATTCAAAAAGCTGGGCCAAGGAAAGTGGTAATATCTTCTTAATATAATAGCTCAATGGCTAAAGCACATACCAGCGTGAGGTTGGATCCTACATTCTCCTCTCTGTGTGGAAAATAGAGGAGTGGGCTTGAGGCCACATTCTACCTTTCCAGAAACCATCGAGTGATGAGCCATCTGAATGCCAAAGGTGGGTGTAGGGGGCACCTATCGTGTACAAGCTGTTCCATTATGCAAGGGAGAGATCGTGATTTATGAAGGATTTGGGAGATGAGTGGAAAGGGAGGGAAGAAAAGAAAGAGCAAGTGAGTGCATGATTTGCGTAGCAACCTGATGTTGGAGATAAGAGGAAAAGCCGTCAAGGAACCCTGGATATGAAAGACGTTTTGTATCATATCTAGGGGGTGTTTAGTGTCAGACTAATCCCCCACCAGATTTAGCTGATCATTAACTAAAGGCAGCAGTGTTTGTGTAATCACTTTGTGACACTGACATCTGACACAGATTCAACCACCACCATTGTCAAGCCTTTCTTTAACTTTTGACACAGCACAACCAGGAGGCAACCCAACATGTAACAGGGAAATCTGAGCTACTTGGCAACAGTCCCAGGCTGAGGCACAAAAGTGCCCAGAAGACTTGCCTGCAGACCAGTTGGATCAGCGTGTGAATCCACGCTTTGTATTTTACAGCACTAAGAGGAAGGAAGGAGACGCAGCTGAAGAGATTACACAGGGATGTGTGGGACTGGGCATGCGTGTTCCTCTGGAAAAGGCTCCAGCAGCTGCATAAAGCAAGCCCTGTGCCAGCTTTGGACACAGGCAGCCGAACGCCTGAGCTCCTACGCGTGCTCAGAGCCAACCCTAACAGTTAACTGCACAGAGCCAATGTTACGAGTTGTTACGAGAGACATTTTCCGCCTGGGACATCCCTGCTTAAACCCTCTCCTTACCTCCACCTCACCAGAACTTCGACTTTGCTGTTTGGACTGACAGTTTGCCCAAACAACT